GGCCAGCGATGGACAATACTTTGAATCATAAATGTATAACCAGTTTTTTACAATAAAGCCTCGAATTACGGAACAAAAACGCGGAAGCAAAGTTGTACACCTAATATGTTTCACTACTGATGAAGAATCATTAATATTTTTTACTATCAGAAGGTTTGATGACTCAGATACTACAACTAACGGACTATTATTTAATAAATTTATTGATTTACAAACTTTAGATAGCCCAGCTATATTGTTTGCTGCATTTTCTTTCTTTCTTTCACGATATTTTTGTTGACTTAGTGCAATTCGTTCCCTTTTCAATCGCAGAAATTCTTCTTCTTCCTCTTCAATACGAACAACTTTTCGTTTACCCATTTTCGATTATTCTTAACTTATCTTTTATTACTAAATTAAACTTTACTTATATTTAGTAAAACGTGTACACAAATCAATAAAATTTAAATATTAAAATATAATAAGTGTTACGTCCAAGTTCTGCACGCATGGAACTGAGGAGGTGAACGTAACAGGAACCGAATTTTTTGACCGATTTGGTCGTGTCCAGGCTCCGAACCGTGAGGGAGCTATGGGGAAGGACCGACACAAACCGGGAGGCGCTTCGCTTCGTCCTGAGGCTCCTAACGAGTCGGGGGTCGAACGCAGGACGAAGGGGAAACCTCAACTCGTGCTCCGCTAAGCGGACACACTTTTGAGTTTAAAGAGCCCAACTGGGTCAGTGTGCCACGAGGGCGCACTTTAACACCAGATGTGCCAGTGCGTTCGTATGCCCTGGCTTTCGGTCATGGAACTTAATCCAAGTGACCGGGGAGAAGGCAAAGTGCAACCGCGGGAGAACTTAAAATGAATAAAAGGAGAGATTTCGTTAATTAATGAGCGAGAATTTAATTAATATTAAATATAATTAGCAAAAGTTATTGATACATTCTTTGGTGTTGTGTTATAATCGGAACCTCTTTTAGGTTCATATACGTATAAATATAATTACATATACCATTATATAGTTTAGTAGCGTTTTTTTGGTAGGTGTTAATGTTGGTGTGGATTTGTATGTGTGTGAGTAGAGTCGGGTGTTATGCTGAGATTATTATCTGTTGGAAGTGTTTGGGTAGAGAGGAAATCTAGAGAGATGGCAATTCATAAGGTTGGAATGAGAGGGGATCGATTGGAATAAGGGACGGAAAAAAGACAAGTACATCCGGGGATGGTAACTATGACTCGGTCGTTTGCTGATGG